ATTCAATTCTGGCAGCACATTAGAAGAAGAGCTATCTAACTCTCTCTTAATATAAAATTAATGTAAAGTATAAGTCAACCATAATAAATAAATTGAAATAATTATCTCTCAAGAATAACAACGAAATGGAAGATATATTTATTAACTGATCTTTTTAGTATCAAAAAATAGCTTATAAACTGAAGAAAATATTTTTTTCAAATGATATTATTTTAGTAATATAAATAAAACACTTTATGAATTTAGCATTACACACTCAATTATTTATTTAATATCAAAAGAAGTGAATGTCTAAAAACCATTTGATATAAATTTAATTTCAAGTGATAAAAGAAATAAAAATGAAAGATTTAAAAATATTTGTTAAAAATTCTTTTTTTAAAACAATAAAAAAAGAAAATTTATTTCTTCCAAAAAGCCAAACGAGATTTCTTTGGCTGAGTATTGATATGAGATTCTTCGATATCTTGTTGTTGTTTTAAATTAGCAAGACGTACTTTCAATTGAGCAACTTCCATTTCAAGACCATCTTGTTGTGCTTTTTCCAATTCAATTTTTCTATTTAAATCAACACAAATATCTTCTCCACTTTGAACATATTTATTTGAAGTAGTAATATTTATAGTATGTAATTCATCTTCAGCAATAACATCACATTCACTCATTTGAACACTAAATTCAAATCCATGATATTTTTCTTTAAAGAAATCAATAACTTTTAATTTAACATTTAATTCTTCATCATTTTCAGGTTTTAATTCAGTGTCTTCTTTTTTATCTTCATTATTTAAATTTTCATCTTTAGGCTTTCCTTCACTAACTTGTTTAAAAGTATCTTTTCCAAATACCCCCAATTTTTTTAATTTAACTTGAACTCCATATAATTTAATATCCATTGAAATATTTTTAGTAGTTTTAATTTTAGAACTTATATGATTTAAAGTTAAAATTAATGATGGAGTTGTTTGAGGTAATTGTTGAAATAAAAATCCTTTTTCCATTTTCTTTTTTGAAATAGACTCTAATGGTTCTAATATATTTTCAACACTTCCTGTTCCAATTTCATCAATAATTATTCCAAAAGTTCTTCCACTTTCATTACTAACAAACATAATATCTAATTCTGATCTTACAATTTCAGTTAATTTAGAGCAGTCATGTTCTTTATTTCTATAAACAATTGAACTAATAGGAACAACAACTTTTCCTTTACCAAATGATAATAATACAGCAATTGTTGGAAATTGAATATTTTTAAGTTCTTTATTAACAAATTCAATAGACTTATCAGTAATTTTATTTGCATTTTCAGTAACAGTAGTTCCAATTTGTTTACTAATATCTTTAAGTCTATCTTTTTCAGTTTCTTGAAATCCATTAATAAAATCTTTAATATAATTATAAATATCTAAAAACATTTGATGTGATAATGTAATTTCAAGGTCATCTGATTTACCATAACAATAAATAATTGAAGGTATTCCTTTATTATTTTCTTTATCAAATATTAAATTAAATTGTACTTCAAATACATCTCCATAAAATACTCTATCTTTTTTGTCATTAACCATTCCAAATGCTTCAACATTTTTAATTAAAATAGAAATATCTAATGAAACAGGTTCTTTAACTTCTGTTGCCTTATATTCTTTTTTTAATTTTTCATTACAAATTTCAAGTGTAGTTAAATTATGTTTAATTGGTTTATTATTTAATTTAAGATTTCCTAATGTAATAGTAAATATTGAATTACTTTGAAATTTTACTGTAAATAATGAATTGTTTAATTCAAATGAAAAATATACTTTTCCTAATAAATCAATAATTGATTTTAATTGGAAATATTGAAGTAATCTTTCATATTTTGAACTAAAAAGTTCTTTTTTCTTTTCTGTTTTTTCTTTTAATATTTCTAATTGATTTGTATTAACATTAATTTTTGTTAAATTCTTTTGCATTGTAATTTTTAATAAATCAATCATTTTTGATAATAATTTAAAGTCCATTGTTATTCCAAGTCCATTACATTTTAAATCAACATCAATTCCAATTATTCCTTTAGCTTCAATACCTTCTTTAGCAATTCCTTTTGTTACATTTAATTGAATTGCATTTCCTTCTTTAATTGTCCAAACAATTTTATTAATTTCTTCTTTTAAAATATATTGAACTTCAAACTCTCCAACACTAAATATTGTTTTTCCAAAATACATACAAAGCTCTTCATTATATTTAATTTTATCCATTTCAAATATAATTTTACCAATATTAATATGAATATCTCCATCTAATAAATCTTTTAATATAATATTTAATTTATTTATATCTAAACAAATTGAACTACTTTGATTGTGATGTTCAATTGTTTGAGAACTAAATATTGATGTTATTATTTTTCTAATACAATTTGCTATATTTTTATACGTTTCTCCTGTACAAATTATACAAATTTCTTCTGCTATCCATTTTTGATCAACACAAATAACATGTCCATTTTGATCTCTTTTAAATGACATATTTAATTGAATTTTAATATCCTTAATAAATTCTTCTGAAATATTATCATTTTCTATAATAATACTAAATTTATTAAAGAAAATATTTAATATATCATTGTTTGTTTCGGTATTAATATCATTCATTTTCATTTTTAATATAGCATTTCCAATTGTAATTTTACAATTTATTTGATTAATTCTAAATTGAAGATATGGAAGTAAATATTCAATCTTTTCATTTGATATTTCATATTCTTCATGTGTCTTTAATGATAAAAAATAATTAATCTCTTTAATTTCAATTTCAAATGGACATTTTTCATCAACTTGTTTAGGCACATTAATTTTCATTTCTGGAATTTCAAATCTATCAATTGTTATAGTCCTTGGGTATTGAAAATATCTTGATATACATTTAGGGTCTATAATAATATGTTTAATAATAACTTGGTTGTCATAAATTTCTGACTCTTCATGAGAAAGAGATAAGAGATGAATAGCTTTAATAAAGTCTTGAACTGAAGGCATATGAATGGAATATTTATTTTTAGTTTTATTTTATTGTTACTTTTTTTATTTATTTTACATTACTTTTTATTAAAAGTTATTATAAAATAATTAAATAATAATTAAATAAAAGAAAAATACAAAATCAATCAATTTTATTATCACGAAAGTGATTCATTTAAAAAAAGAGTTCAACACACATTAACAGAAATGATAATTTTTCTTCATAAAAGCATATATTAATTCTAAGAAATCATCTAACGTTAATTGAGCTGCTCGTGATTTTGCTCTTCCACTTTCTTCAAGTATTTGAAGAACATCTGCTTTAACATCAAGGTTTTCATCAATTGGAATATTACGAATTTTTGCAATAATTCTTAAATTCTTTTCCATTACTTCAAGAACAGAACTTATTCTAAATAAACTACTTAATGTTTTATGCTTTCTTAAGAAACAAATTCTTAAGAACCCATCAAATTCTACTAAATTTAGGGGTGGTGCTGGTTTAACTGGAATCATTCTAACAACACTTGACTCAACTTTAGGTGGTGGTTTAAAATTGTTTCTTCCAACTTTCATCACATGAAATACATCTGCAAGAAGTTGAGTGTTAACTGATAATCTACAATATAATGGATCACCTGGTTTAGCCACCAACCGCATAGCAAATTCTCTTTGAAACATTAGTACAGCTGATCTAAATTGTGGTCTATGATTAAGTAATTTAAATACTAATGGACTTGAAATAGAATAAGGTGTATTTGATACACACACATCAAAATATGGTAGTTCAACTTTTAAGAAATCTCCTTGAATAATTTCTAATTTTTTTACATAATCAGTAACTGAAACTCTCTTCTTTAATTCAGCTGCCATACGTGGATCAATTTCAATTGCAATTAATTTTTTACAAAACGGAAGCATTTTCATTGTTAAATTTCCTGTTCCTGGTCCAATTTCTAATACAACATCTGTTCTTCTTAATTCAGCTGCATCAACTATTTGTTGTGCAATCATTGGATTCTTTAAAATGTGTTGTCCCTCTGATTTATGAAATTGGAATATGTTGGTTCCAACAGGTTCTGCCATATTATGCTTTCAATAGTTAAAAGGGTTTTTTGTTATAGGGTTTTAATTAAATTTAATTTAACAACATCATCACTTCTTGTTAGATAAAACAATCAATAGAAATCAATTTAAATCAAGAAGAGTTGATAAAATCACTCATAAAACAATATTATTATTCAATTTTTGTATTATTTTTCTTTTTAAAACTAAAAACCTTTTATCTATGAATTAATTCATTTGATTATTTATTTAAATTTTCATTATTTTGCTAATGTTTAATACTAAAAGTAATACTAAAAGTAGTATTATTAACTCTACTAATACATATTTATATTAACAGAAACTTATTCTTACATTATCTTTTCTTTAAAAACAAAGTCGTTTATATTTCTTTTAAAGAAAGGTTAGTACAACTCGATAATGTCTTCAATTATATCATGATTTCCTTCTATAAAGAAACCACTGCTAATTGAAATATTTTCTTGCATTGCGGCGAAGATAAATAAATAAGTATTTATCAAAAAAAGCAATGCTAATAACTTCATTATTTTTCTTTCGATGAACTCTTTAAATAGAACCCTCAATACTATATTTTTATTATATAAAAACTATAACATGTTTAATAGTTATAAGTATTATTAAAATACTATTCATTTATCTGGTTTAAAACTTCAACAACTATTCTTTCTTTTTTTTTTTTTAATAGTTTTTAATGATGGAATTAATATTTGAAAGAGTAATGGAAGAAGGGACTTTTCTAACTCTGAACAATAAAAGAAAAACAAAATATTGAGAAGATAAAAAGATAATTAAAAAAAAAAAGAAAAATTAAAAAAAGAAAAGAGAAAATACTCATTGAATTTGAATGGATCAATCAAACAAGAGACAATTAGCTAAAGTTTTTAAGCTAAATAATAATGAATGGGAAGAACATGGAACAGGTGTATTCAAACAATTCATAAATGGTAATTGTGTTCATATTGAAATTACCTCTGAGGGGAAATCAATAATTAAAGTTATAATGGGAGAAGGTGATGCCTTTGAAAAACAAAATGATCGAGTAGTTCAAATACAAGGGAAGTCATTTGAAAATGAGTATGCATTAAGTTTTATTGATAAAACATTATGTTCTACATTATGCAATGCTTTACTTCAAGTAAAAGCAAGAAAAGTGAGTGATTCTGATATAGAGAGTTTGTTAATATAAAACAAGAGTATAAGGGTCATATTTGAGTGATACTTATTAATTAGAATTAGAATGTAATGAAACAAATATTTTTCAATTAAGAGACCTTGCATATAAAGCTATGAGTACAAGAAATCCTTCTGAGTTATTGAGTAAAATAAATCCAAAAGAAATTGCTCAAGGATTGGTTCAAATATCAAAAACAATAAATGAATCGACTTCCAAAGAATTTATGACTTGTGTCTTTATTTTCGTAAAAGCATTATTGTTCATTTCTGATAATCAATTAATAGAAGAATTATATAAACTATCTGTATTAAAATCATTATTTGTTATTCTTTCTTATGACCCATTATTTCTTTCTGATAGTCGTCCAAATTTCTTAGAAGAGTTTTACTCTTATATAAATAATATGAAAGAAGTTATTGAACAAACTGAAACATTAACACAATTAATAGAATACTCATTTGCTTTAGTTTACTTCCGTGATGTTGTCATTGCTAGATTTTCTGATGAAACAGTATGTGCACCTATAACTCTTAGAATTGATATCCTCAATAAAAAAATCCTCATTGAAACTATTAATAATAGGTCAATAGAAAAATTATTAGAATTATATGATTCATCTCTTAGTCAAACGAAACGTGGGATTTGTATTACTGTCAAAAAAATGTGTAATCATCTTTTACTTTTTACTCTCCCTTTAAGAGAAGAATATGCTAAATCAATGATTGATCAAGGATTAATTAAAATAATAAAAAAGGGACTTCTTGATGATAATAAATCATTCTGCTTAGAAGCATTAAATTCTTTATTTCAATGTAGTACATCCATTGGATTATTACTTATAAAAGATGAAATACTTCAATTAATTGCAAAAACAATACTCATTTCTTCAACGTCGTTTTATTATGGTGCATTTCAAATATTAATTGATATATTAGATGTTACTGATGGAAATGTTACGTTCGAAAGAGAAATGATTAATACCATGATACCATCTGTAATAGACATCCTTATCCAACCATTAAATGATACTAGCCCAATTCAATTAACAAATTATAACTCTTATATTTCTCATATTAGTTCTTTAATATATCACTTATCTTGTTCAACAGCAATATCAGTAAAACCATATATTATCCAATCTGGAATATTTAATAAAATACTTCAAAAATTACCTACACTAACACATTCTTCACAAGCTTCAGTATTACAATCATTAAGAAATATTATTCGATTGAATAACCAAGATTATACTACTCAACTTCTTGATGCTGGAATGATTGAAATTGTTAAAGAAATGATACCGTCAATGAGTGGAATGGCTCTTCCTATTGCATGTGAGATTATTGATTCATTCAAAAATAGAATGAGCATTCTCCCTCTCTCTTCTTCTTCAGTTCCAACTCCAGAAGTTACAAACGGGGTCCAAGATTTGGCTCAATTATCTCTTCCTTCTCCATTAAAAAGACCAGTTGATATTGAAAATACAATGAAAATAATGGAAATAGATTCCCCATCAAAAAGAAGAGTAATGACTCCAATATTTTCACAATAGCTTCTTTTGTTCAATATCTCAACATTTAAATGATAATAACAAAATTTTATTGTTATGTTATTTATATTTACGTTATATATAACATTTAAAATAACAACAACAAAAAAAGAAACCAGAAAAAAATAATAAAAGAATTAAAAAAGAATAGAAAAACTGAGAATAAACCCTAAGAACTTTAAAAATAGCAATCTTGGTGTGTAATCATGAAGGTTTGTTAATTATTTTCTAGAGAATTTCGTGATGAAAAGACAAATACTTATGTACAGATTAACGTAGCCAACCCAGCAACTGGAA